TTCTCTCTCTCTCTCTCTCTCTCTCTCTCTCTCTCTCTCTCTCTCTCTCTTCTCTCTCTCTTCTCTCTCTCTCTCTCTCTCTCTCTCTCTCTCTCTCTCTCTCTCTCTTCTCTCTCTCTCTCTCTCTCTTCTCTCTCTCTCTCTCTCTCTCTCTCTCTCTCTCTCTCTCTCTCTCTCTCTCTCTCTCTCTCTCTCTCTCTCTCTCTCTCTCTCTCTCTCTCTCTCTCTCTCTCTCTCTTCTCTCTCTTCTCTCTCTCTCTCTCCTCTCTCTCTCTCTCTCTCTCTCCTCTCTCTCTCTTCCTCTCTCTCTCTCTCTCTCTCTCTCTTCTCTCTCTCTCTCTCTCTCTCTCTCTCTCTCTCTCTCTCTCTCTTCTCTCTCTCTCTCTCTCTCTCTCTCTCTCTCCTCCCCTCGTCTCCTCTCTCTTCTCCTCCCTCTCCTCTCTCTCCTCTCTCTTCCCTCTCCTTCTCTTCTCTCTCTTCTTCCTCTCTCTCTTCCCCCCCTCACTCTCCCTTAATATTTCTCCTCCTCCCCCTTCTACCCTCCTTTGCCCTTCCTTCCTTCCATTCCAAAGCCTTTATCACCTCCGCGAAGGATGTTTAGTGTACGGCCGTCACCAGTGGAAAGAGATGATTTTAAGGCAATTCTTCAGGTGGGAATATTTCTGTTGCATCAGTGACCCTGTTGCCTTGGCGGAGGTATGCGCTCTCTGACTGCTTCTAGTTGATATTGATATTGTGATGAATGTTATTGTTATTGATTTGGTTATTATTTTTAAAAATATTAATTGTTATTATTGTTATTGGTGTTATTATTTTTATTAGGAAAGTTATTTTATTAGTTACTTGTATTATTGCTGCGTCTTTTATTCTATTGATTTGCCTCTTCTCTCTCCTCTTTCCCCCCCATCCTCTTCCTCCTTGTCCTCCTCCTGTTCGTAATTACAAGATTCCTGAGGTGTCTGCCCCATGGCTGATCCCTTCCGGCAGCGGGAGGGTTCGGCCCCGCCGCTCGGGCCAGCCGTCGCGGTGCTGAGCCTCGGCTCCTGCGGACCATTGCCAATCACGCCTTTCGTTGGGCCTCCGCCCTCGGGCGGGGTTTATCGTGCCTGTTTGGTTTGGCTCACATGCCGGGGGGCGGTCACGCGAGCCTAAGGACAATGTTGATGCTGCCCCGCATGCCGTGAGGAGGCGCTCATGGCGGCATAGCAACCGCGGTCATGAGCGCACCTGCGGGTGGCGTGACCACACTGCCGCTTTTAACTGCCCACGTCATCGCTCCGCACACCATGGAATTAATTCGCGACACAGATGGTGTGGGGAAACGGGAGAGGAGGAAGAGGAAGATAAGGAAGGGAGAGGAAGGGAGGAGAGGGGAGGGAAAGGGAAGAGGAGGGGAGGGAGGGAGAGGGAGGGGAGGAGAGGGAAGGAGGGAGAGGAGGAGAGAGGGGAGGAAGGGAGGGAGGGAAAGGGAGCGGGTCGTGTTCCCACCCCCAGGTGATGGCCGTCGGTCATTCTCTTGTGGATGTTGTTTAGATAAGTTCTGTTTATATCCACACCTCGGTTCGCCTTGAGCCCGAGGCGCTCCTGAAGAGACGCGAATATTCTCTCGCTGGATTGGGAGGCTTCTCATATTGGTCTCTCGGATGCCCACAGTTTGTTGATTGCGTGTGTGAAGGTTTGTAACTTGCAAAATCTTGCATTTCGAGGGACTCGGGAATAAGGTTTGGCTTGATGTTGCAATGAAATACCTTCGTCTTAGGGAATACGTCTAGCCAGGATATCTCTATGGGGTTCAGAAATCGCCGTGGACTCCTCCAGTAATTTTGAAAAGTATTTGTGATCTTTCAAGAGTTGGTGACCGCAGGTGCGTGGCATTTCCTGAGTGTGCTTCCAGGGTCTCTAGAAGGCGTTTGTCGTCATGGCCCGGCTATTTCCATGCTGTCCGTCTCCCATAGTCGCCTTGGAATGCGCGGGGAGCGGGCCCACGCTCCCCAAGTTGCGGCCGTGATCCAGAAAGCGGTGCGGAGGCATTTTTACGAAAGCCTCGAGCCAGTCACCTGATCGTAGGACATAGGGTTTCGTGGGCACGCACAGCAGCGGCAGCGAGCTTTTCGCGTTGCACAATAAACGAAGACCACCACCCGAGCGCTGCTTTGTTCGCCTTTTAATTCCTCGCCATGGCCTCGAGCGTGGCCAGCAAAACAGAAGGTCTTAATGCCACAGATAGGCCACGGGGATAGTATTCTATGGGTACGGACTTGGTTCCACTGAGATGCAGGACTTTTTTCAAGGACATGATATGTGAAGCAGATCTCTGGTATGTGGTTCCTGTGCATATCCATTCTCGCTAGACTCGTGCAACCAAGAGAAGACTTCAGCACCATTTTTAACTCTCGTAAATAAGAGAAAATACATTTAAGCAAATTGATCGCTAATCCTATCCCTTCAAACTGGGCTGGAGGCGAGGTCGTGGCTTGCAGACGAGCATAGTGCTCGCTACTCCTCGACTGTCAACTCGAGACAGCCATTGTGTGAAAGTGTGCAGATGTTTTTGGCCCGAGGGAAAGTAAAAGAGGCTGAAGGAGAGGAGTTACCAGCGGGCCTCCTTGGCGGACCTGCGTCCGGGAAGCGCGGCTTGAGCACCGAGGAGCAGGCCGAGTCGCGTTCTGCCGTTCCGCGCTCCCTTGCCAGCATCTGCGCGAGGAGGACGAGGGGGGGGAAGAAGCGGGAATGGAAATGGGAATTTAATGCATTACATTTTATACGTTTGTGTTAGAATATGTTTATTTTTTTTAGTATACATGTGTACTGAGTGGGTGTGGATGTAATTGATCAGTATGTTTGTGAGTTATAGAATGATTGAGTATGGGAGCCAATGATAGAACCTAAGAGGTGAGTGATTGAGTCTGATAGTGAGTAGACATATGCGATTATGAATGATCGAGTATGTATGTGAATAATCAAGTGTGAGTGTTGGTGATTGAGTATAAATGAGAGAGAGGAGTGGCTGAGGCAAGATGTGCTCACATGCAGTTGTACCTTTGGGTGTTTGAATTGCCTTGCTTCATACTAAGGGTAGCATGTTGTTGCATAAACTATTGTAACTTACCTGCTTTAAACAACCCTTTTAAAGTATAATAGAAGTGGTTTTGTGCACAACCATGAGCTCAGTCACTGTAAATGAATGTGGGGGACATCCTGTTATACCTGGTAAGTTAGAATCCTCACACTGAAGACCCTAAAGGTAAATAGATTAATTGTTTGTGGGATAAAGGAAGCACACTTTTCATGCAGTAAATACTGGAAGTGTTGATGGCCTTCTAAATGGTACCGCAGGTTTGCGGTCTCCAAGAAAAAGTCTCGGGTAGGATCCATTATTTAAGTCTAGATATTTGATGTGATACCTGTAATGGCATTTTGAGTTGCAAAGATCAGAAAGGTGCATTTCCTACATTTTTGTATCCCATTTGGTAAGACAGGGCATTTGCTCAGCTGAAGGCCAACCACTCTGAGATGTGCCTTGTGAAGGAATGGACCACTGGTTTGAGAAATGGTTATTTTATAATGCAATTTTTTTCTATTCCCCAGTTTCTTTTCCACTTGCGTTTTACTGATCCTCTCTCCCTCATATAAGAACAATATCTGTTGTTGTAAACAGTATGATGATTCAGTCCTTTGGAATGCTGATGTTAATTAAAGCTGACTCTACTAATTAAACCAATCAGTTCTTCTTATGTCAGTGATACAACTGAACATTTTTGTAATGAACACCTACAGTGATCTGCATGGTGCAAAATCTAATGTATTTTGGGACATTTATCTTAAATTCATATATGATAAATTCCTGGAGTATTTTAACCACCATTGCATAGTTTGAAAAGAATTCCCTTGTACTGTATGGTAAAAGGGTGGAGTCAGTCCCATTTTTTCTGGTTTCCTCATGTTTTCCCAGAGCTCATATTGCAGTCTTTATATCCCATACAAATTCATTAGTTTACTTACATGTGCATTTGAAATTAGTTGATAACTTTGGCCAGTTTGACCATAATTCAGTTTGTAATTAAACAATTGTTTAAAGAATTCACTTTGATCTTCAATGTCCTCATCAAAGTAACCTTTTCACTGACAACAAAGGATGCAAAGGTGAAGGTTTGAATACCAAACATACTGTCTTTGCTTCACACCCCTGACTCTTCCATCAGTACTTAATAGAATGGAGCACCACTTCAAAACATACCAGTTGGTATGATTAGTGGTCTCTCCTTGGTGCCCTGCGATGCCCACTTATTGTTTACTGCGAGGGCCTGAGGGTGCCTCTTGTAGAGATTGAGTTCGCAGTTGCCTGTGTCATGTGAAGAAGGAATGAATAAGGCATTCTTTAGATTGCTCTTTAGGTGTATGTATTCGAGGGAGCATTTCCTGTGGGCTTTAGGTGCTTAATCATTGGTCTTGCAAAAAATGCCCATACTGCTACTTGTTCATTTGATAAAATCCATTTGAAATAGATTGATAAGATAAGCAGACCTAACAAAAGAAGATGAAAGAAGGCTGTCTTTGATACTCAGGTTTTTTATGATTAAATCTGAGATTGCTTTTTAGAAAAATGTTGCTTTGCATCAATATTTTTTAGGTAAAATAAATGGCATGAAACATTATTTTTTCCATATTTTTAGAATGATTCACACCAGTAAGTGATAAGTTGTTAAGGAATTTTTATGGGTGCCTGATTTGCACTTCAGTTATATAATCTTTTTATAAGGTAGACAAAAACTGTATGAATAGAAGTGGGCAAGTCTCTTGAAATCTTATATTATCATCATTTTCTTTATTAGTGTTTTTAGTTTCTTGCAGTTTACAAATTACATTTCTATTACTCTCCCATAGCATGAGTTTCATGAGTTGACAGCAGTACAGTACAAAATTATTAAATTGTTATTCCAACAATTTGAATACTTGGAGCAAATCTTTGTATGTTTATTTATTCTATTTTCTCATTGTAGGTGGTGCCCCTTGTGACCATGGGCAGCTTGGCCGCCATGGAGGGGCCAACCAGCATGGAAACAACTCCCCATCACATTTCCACAACCAGCAGTTCACCTTCCCAACAAACCACCAGGTTAGTATGTCATTATTGTGGCCATCTTGTGCATTCCACATAGAAAACAAGAAAAAAAAAACAGCAAGGATTCTGTTATGTTTTTGGTATAGGGAATTCATTTCCATTATTGATGTATTCCTATAATTAGGATTATATGTCGATGTGCTAGCATTATGATGATAAGATGGTATTTCTAAAATTTGTTATTAGATTGATTGATTAATCTTTGTTTTTCTTATTAGCAACAGGTACCTCAATTTGCTCACCTGATGTGCCCTAAGACGTCCCCTGGCTCTCCTCACCATGTCCCACCAGACACCAACTTTATTCCAATATCTCACTTACATCATCAGACGTTCCCTCGAGGACCAAGGCATTGAATGTTCAGGTGAGACAAAAAGGTTTCTAAGGAACAGTTGACAAAAAGATGAGAGGTGAGGAGAGAAGGAAGCACAGTGGATAAATAGTAATGAAGAACATTAAGACCAAGATGACGAATGAGGACGACAACGCTCCAAGTAGACTACTACGCACCCCGCAGGCGCAAGCAGCAAAGGCAAGAGGAAAGTAACGATACGACATACGCAAGAAAGGGAACGCGGACTACAGATTTCCCTAGGCGCACTATGAGCCCCTGGAGCAGTTAAGATGTGCGTTACCTGCCATCATATGCACCCCCTCCCCTATTACATCATGCTACTCTACGATCAACTATGAACACTTTCCAGTTTGATCAAACCAATAGAAGAAAGGCAATAGAGATAGACTGTAATTATTAAAAAATGCCAATATGTGCTCGTTAATACAACCAACTACACCTTATGTTAGTGTATAGTAAATTGCACAATGAAGACTCCTTCTTACACAGGTTATAACCACAATTATGTATACAATCATCTCACCCCAACCGTACCTAGTCCTCTATTACGCAAGTGAAACCATGTCCCTCCTCCAATTCTGCACTCCCTTCCTGGCTCCCTTCTACTCTCCCTCGCCCCAAGGACAGCCCTGCCAATGCCCCCAAATTAGCCCATAAAACATGCAGACCCAGCCAGCCCAGTTGTTGAGGCAGACGTTCCTTACCTTATTTAGTTTTCTTTGCACACAGCCTAGACATCTCCATTGCTTTCTCTCCCCCATAATTGTTCCCTCGTTGCTCTTTTAAATGAGGGAGATTGCTTTCTGGTTATTCACTGCTATTACACTGCGTTGATCCAGACCCACCTCACTCGCACTTACTTTTGCTCCTAATCCTCAGGTACTACGTGCATATCGTCGATGCGCCGAACTCGACCTCTCCGTTCGGTCTCCCTCGCAATGCTTCAATCACGCTACAATTCAACAGACCGCCGCACCTTCAGCAACACACTATAATCTCACCTTCAGTCACATACAGACACACACACACACACACACTGATACACAAGCACATCACAACCACAATTTCAGACAATTGATCTTTCTTGCATACAATAACACCACACAAGAGATACAGCATCTTACCACCACCGACTACCATAACATACCTATAATTATCAAGCAACCAAACACAACACACAATAACTTGACCCACACACACACACAACAACAACACAAACTACTTTCTTTTTATATAAAGTCATATACTAATTTAGTTATTGTATTTAATTCATTTAAGTAGTAGTATAATAACTAATATAGATCAAAAACAATTTACAGTGTAGTATATATACAAACATTGTTAACTATACTTATAACTTAATAATATATTGACATTAATAATTTATTTTATCATAATATGAAGGTTAAAGCAGAACTCTATGATCAGGACAAGTCCATTTCTTTTCAATCAAATTTACTTATTTTATCTAAATATATAAGTGTAGTCAAACGTGTCAGAAATTATATAACCTAAGGTATTATTGACATATGAAATTCTTTTCTACTTGGTT